TGGGAGTGGACCACATCCACCCTAACTGAATTGGCCCTGTCAACACTGGTTCTCCACTTGTAAGGTAACTCCCTTCTCTTCATGTGCCTGTATCTGTAATTTTCACTCCATGCATCTGAAGAAGTGGGTTTTTTACCCATGAAAGCTTATGCCCAAATAAATCTGTTAGTCTTTAAGGTGCCACCGGACTCCTTGTTTTTGTTTTTTTTACGGAAGTTATGTGTCAGTGCTGGGTATTGGAGGTAGATTGCCTGAATTCCTGTCCAGTGTCTTGCTTGCAAGACCATTGTTTTTATCTTGTAAAGAGATATGTGTATACCCTCACTGACAGATCCCTTTGGCTTGATACAACTGTACCCATGCAGTGGGGACAATGTGGTTTCATGAGTGTAACTGGGAGAAGGATTTGGAATCTTACCATTGGATATTACTTGACTTCTGACAGGTTAATTTCTCAATATTAAATTAATGCTTGTTTTTGTATAGAGTAATTTAGATTTGCTTTTTATAATTGTCACTGCTGTGCTATCATTCTGTTCCACTCGAGAAATTAGGGTTGCCAGGTGTCAGGTTTTCGACCGGAATGCCCGGTCAAAAAGGGATCCTGGCAGTTCCACTCAACACTGCTGACTGGGCCATTAAAAGTCTGGTCAGTGGCGCAGTGGGGCTAAGCAGGCTCCCGGGCTGCCATGGCTCCACATGGCTCCAGTAAGCAGCAGCATGTCGCCCCTCCAGCTCCCAGATGTAGCGGGAGCCAGGGGGCTCTGCATGCTGCTCCTGCCACAGGCGCTGGCTCGGCAGCTCCCATTGGTTGTGAACTGCAGCCAATGGGAGCTGAAGGGGGGTGGCACCTGTGGACGGGGCAGCATGCAGAGCTGCCTGGCTGCGCCTCTGCATAGGAGCCTGAGGCAGGGGGGGGGGCATGCCACTGCTTCCAGGAGCTACTTGAGGTAAGCGCTGCCCAGAGCCTTCACCCTGACCCTCTCCTGCATCCCAAACCCCTGCCCCAGCTCTGATCCCCTCGTTCCCAGTCCAGATCACCCACCTACACCCCAAACCCCTCATCCCAAGCCCCACCCCAGAGTATGCAGCCCCAGCCAGATCCCTCCCCCTCCCCCCCACACCCCAACCTTCTGTACCAGACTGGATTCCCCTCCCACACTTTGAACCCCTTATCCCCAGCCCTACACCAGAGCTTGCATCCCCAGCTGGAGCCCTCACCCCCCTGCCCAGAGCCCCCTTCTGCACCCCAAACCCTTCATCACTGACCCCACCCTGGAGCCCGCACTGTCAACCAGAGCCCTCACCCCCTCCCACACCCCAAGCCCCTGAGCTAGCCAGTTGAAAATGAGCAAGTGAGTGAGGATGGGGACAGTGAGCAACAGAGGGAGGGGGGAATGGAGTGAGGCCTCCGGGGGCGAGGCTTCACAGGAAGGGCGGGAGAGGGGTGGGGCAAGGGTGTTTGGTTTTGTGTGAATAGAAAGTTGGCAACCCTATTCGAGATTGTTTTTAATACTATGCACATAGTTTTGTTTTATTATCTGATGATGTGAATGCTGCCTTGAAATCCTCAAAGGCTATGGCTATATAGCACAAACTATTCCAATATGTGTATTTGCATACAGTACTATGTTCAGGAAGAAACAATACATAAACTACATCAATCAGAAATACACATTTGTGGGATGCAGGAGGGCTGAGAGAATAAACCACTGAACATGTTTTAAGTCCACTCTTATACAAGGTCAGTGTTTTGGACTTAATGTACGTTCACAGGTCTTCCCCTCCCCTTGTGCTTCACCTGCCCTCTCTGAAGGTTGAGTGCGTTGCTACGTTATACGGTGGCCAAAAAGCAAGGAAATATGAAGGTACGTGAGGCTGCATTTTGCTAATGTTTTTCAATACATTTATACAGTAAAGCTTAAGCTTGGTGGAATGTACTTCTTAGTGAGAACCGACATTTTACTTCCCCCCACAACTGGACCGAGACATTTGGGTGGTCTATGATTTGCCTATTGCACTCACATTTTCCTCCATTCAATGGAGCAGCAAAAGTCATTTTATACAATCAACATGCTGCATGGTACTCTGCCATGTACAGGAGAGGCACATGCTCCAACAAGAGGCAATACACGGCAACTGTTCAAGTTCCTAGAAATGGGTGGTGCACTACTGATTTGTGGCATACCCTTGCAGTGGCTCCTAATAATGTCTCTTCCGATGCCCCAGATTTACTGCTATTCACAACGCATCATGTGCTCCAGTGCAGACTTTTGGAGATGAAATGTTGGGGATGCTTGACATTCACTTGCTCCAGAGCTCTACAAAGCACAAGATGGCCGAAGTAACAGGGAGGGAACCTTTCTACCTCCCTGACACTTAGGGGCAGCCCCAGACTTGATGCGAGGACAGTCAGCTTTCAGTTCCACCACTGATGCAGTACCCTTTTCCCGGTGTCACTCCCTACTCCAGGCGAGATGGGAGAGAGAAGGAGCTGAAACACTGACTTAGATTTTTTGTCCAGCAGATCTTTCCCTCACACCAAGAGAATTTCTCTGCTGGGTATTTGTGACTAGGTTACGATCTCTTTACTCCTATCTGAGCAACATGAAAAGCTCTATAAAATCACTAGACAATCTGGCCCAAGATCCAAAATCACTGAAGGGAACAAAGGGATCTCAAACATTAATATTAAGTTAACATTTACCATGCAAAGGCCGCCAATAAATTGTAGTTCAAGAATTAACATCGTGGAAATAGAACATGCATGTCTCGGGTAAAGAAAAATCTCTTTGCACATCAAAGAATCAAGAAAAGTAGTTCCTGCTTTGGAGATGTGATCTTTTTGATGCTAGCAAGGTCAGAGGGGACCTGCTGTGTTGTGATAATTACACAAGACAAAATTTGCCTGTATATTTGACCCAAACTAACACCTATTTTTTAAATGAAGGGAATGATTAGCTTGGATATTGCTTCTCCTTTCTCTGCTTTATTGGCCAGGGTCCCCTGTAACTTCTTTCCCAGTGCTACATATCATTCCTTTTTAGAAAAAAGAAAAGGAGTACTTGTGGCACCTTAGAGACTAACCAATTTATTTGAGCATGCTCAAATAAATTGGTTAGTCTCTAAGGTGCCACAAGTACTCCTTTTCTTTTTGCGAATACAGACTAACACGGCTGTTCCTCTGATTCCTTTTTAGGTGATGCAAAGTTTGTCATTTTTATTCACCTGTTGTAATCTTACATGTATAGGAACCAATATCAAATGCCATTCGATAGAAAAGGAAAAAAATCCCATGGTAATATGTTTGGTTTGGTGCCAAAAAAACACTTCAAGGCTGTTATAAGTGGGATTGCTTTCTCTGCAATGCAGTTCAGTTATAATTCCATTATAATTTTGGATGCTCCTTGATCCTACTTCAAACTGGTCTGTAGTATTGCCCCTCGACCACTATTGAAGGAGTCAGGCCTGACTCTGGTACCTGAGCCTAGACATCATGGGTGGTCGATCTCTCCCTCACCCCATCCATGACTGCTGGTCAGAGTCTGAGTAGGGGTTGAGCTCTAGTCATTGAGTGGCTGCTCCTGGGCACCGGCTGCTGTTCAGCCATCATCTGTACAGTGAGAATGGAATTCAGCAGGCGTGAGATGCCTAAGACACGGCAGAGTACTGCTGTTAGACAGGCTGCAGTCACGACTGTGAGTGGCTCTACATGCACTCCACTGAATCCTGTTAAGGGGGAGGAGAGTCAGTGGAGGTCTGTGTCTGCCAGTGGAAACATCATGGGAAGAGATACTTGAGAGAATGGGGGAGGAGATCAGAAGGGAGGAGGATGGCCACAAAGGCAGGTGAGGGGAGAGACAAGAGGCGAACTTGGAAAAGGAAAGAGGGGCTAGTGGTTAGAGTGCTAACCTATGACTTAGAAGACCTAGGTTCAAGTCCCTGCTCTACCACAGATCTCCTCTGTGACCTTGGACATGTCAGCCACTGTGCCTCAATTCCCCCACCTGTAAAATAAGGATAATAATGCTTCCCTACCTCAGAGCAAGAAGAAAGTGTGTGTGTGTAGGGGGTGAATGATTGAACAAGAAAGGGAAGCACATTGAGATAGTTTTTGGGGTTATTGGTGGGCTGGGATGGGGAGACAAGAAAAGGTAATTTGAAAAGAAAAGACACCAAAGGGATGGTGAAAAGGAAAGTGCTAGATAGGAGAGAGAGAAAAAAATAGATTGGAGGGAGAATAGAAAAGAGTGAACCAAAAATAAGGGAGACAATGGGCTTAGTTAATTGCCCCTCAACACGGTCTCCCTTTCGCACTTGGTTCCAGTGGTAATTCTCCATTTCGATTACACGGAATGTCTCTCAGAACAGTAGAATGTTTCAAAACAGACAAAACTTTTTAAGTCTGACCACTCTAAATACAACTGCCATGTTACAGACTCAGCACACACATCCATTTTAATGGTATTTTATGAATTTTGAGCAATACTATGAGGCATGCCCAGCTGGCATCTTATTGTATTTGCCATGTATGATGCCTCTCTGAAAGGTTAAAATTACAGAAAAAGCTTTCTCTTTCTGAGCTTCACAGAAGGGGTTTGGGCCTGTTGCTCCTTTTTCTCATTAATGTAATAAAATTCATTTTGGTTTTACTTGTTGGCATTTTCAGTAAATCTTGTCCTGTACCTGTTATCTCATCATAGGTTGTTCCCCCCCCCCCTCCATTTTCATATATATTGTGACAATTACATCTTTAAGGAAATCCTGGCCCTATTTAAATCAATGGCAAAAACCCCATTGACTTCAGTGGGGCAAAGTTTTTCACCCTTTATACCTAAATACATTAGAGTTCCTGGATCTATTTTCCTTTTCTGGGGTTTCCATAGAAACCCCCCCAAAATGTGTCTGAGAGTGCATGCCTCTAAATCCTTGGATGCCTTACAATATGATCTTTACTCCTTGTGTTAGACTCTAAGTACAGCAGCGTCAGCTTCACTTACCCACTTTCAGTTGGTACTAGGTCGTCATTGTATTGCTGTATCATGTTTTCTGGGAGTGGCTCCAACATCTTGTTTGGGGCCTTGTAAGTCTTGGCAGCAGCTCTGCTTACACAGTAAAGATCTAGTGACAAAATGTAAAAATGACAGAGGCAGATCAGTTTAGAGGGTGGCTGTTTTATAGGTCACATGGAAAGATGTATTTCAAGCACAAAATAATATTTCATGCCACAAACTACAAAGTTTAGGGTCTGATTCAGAAAACCCTTACTGATATGGGGTTTAATTCTGCCACACTTACGCCTCCATCTTGCATCCCCAGTCAGACCTTGGCATAGCCTTATTGACTTAAATGTGTCTCCAGCTCTGCATAGGCACAGCGGTCCTCCTCCAGGAATTTGATTGCAGAATTGAGCCATGAATCCCACAGAGTAGTACATTACTCACATGAGTCACCCACAGGTATGGTATTACTCAGTGTGAGGAAGGATGGATGAGTGGGGACCATTGACTTCAATGGGATTACTCACTTACAGTAAGGTTTGCAGGATCAGGCTCTTAGATTTTAAAAGAAGTCATTCATTTTTCCAAAATTACACAATAAAAGTTAATAGTACTGAATTATACTGGGCTTCTCAAACACAAAATTACTCACAAACTCACCCCCTCCTTTCAAATTGTACACACACACACATGTACACACACACGCACATTTAGTGTGTAGGGTTTTTTTGTTCAAAATGGCATTAAAAAGAGGGAATGTCAGTGTGAGAATAGGTGGACTTAATGGGTTAAAAACTGTGTAAATGTTACTCTAGTTAAATTACAGCTTGTTGTTCAGATGAATACTCTCCACTTCTCATATAGCTTTAAATTATGGACAAATGCTTGCAATTGTGAACTACCTACATTGTGGCTGCCTGTTCCCAGGCTTCATCAACCCTAGCTGTCCAATGGGATTACTGTAAGCTTTCACGGCAGTCTGCCAGCCACTGATCAGAAATTCATATCCCTGGATGTTAGATTGCTCTCTTTATTCCATCCTTGTGATGGCTGTGATTGCTGTCATGGTGTTAGGTTAGAAATTAGCATTTTGTGGCCCAAATTTTGCCATCCAGAACATAATCAGAAAAGAGAGAGAGAGAGAAATCAAAGAATAGTAATTTCATCTGTCAAAGAAGGGAAATGCAGTGCTACCATGATACAGATGTCTACGAAACTTAGGTCAGGAAATGTTGTGGTATTTATGGTCCTATTTGGCAAATGCTGAGGCAGGTGGTGCTTTTCTATTACCGCAGACCTCAGTTCATAGATTAATGGTTTTCCTCTGATAAAAAAATAGATAAAAATATCCATCGGTGAAACTATAGGTGGGCTTCAGAAACTCTTAAATTAAAAAAACAAAACAAAACAAAAAAACAAGGATCTCTAGCAGATACTTTCAAGGACATGCTGAATTAATCACAAGAGGCTGGTTAGCAGGAGGTCAGAGAGAGACTTCTTAGCATCATTTTGGGTCATATGTCTAGAGGCGATGGCAGTATGTATGTGCTGTATTGTAATATCCCCTTTCTAGTTTACTTGTCTAAGCCAAAAAAGGATGAACGCATATTGCATAGGGCTGTTGAAAGGAAAGACACACTGGTAAATATCAATAGTTTTGTTTTTTTTTGCTGTTCTTTTAAAACAATCATATCTGACAAAGAAATAAAAATATTGCATTGTTTTTCACCAGTTTTATGCTATACTCACTAGTCCTTTTATTCCTTACATTTTTGTCTTTAAATGTGTAAGATTGGTGATACAAGCGTGCTTATTAAACAGCAGAGTAATATTCACTGATCAAATGGCTTTAGATGAGCATATCTTATTGTTCTAAACAAAGATCTTGTCTATTTACAAAACAATCAGGGCTTAATTACAGAAAATTATTGAAAGTATTTAAAATTTAGGGTAGATATATGGTAGGTCCTTTAAAGATAACTTGTTATTCTTTTTAGGCGATTCACAGACATGCTAATTTTTCCTGTCATTAACACTGAGCAAGCTGGAAGGATTCTGACATGCTAGGTGCACAGATTCTGTTAGAAGCCTTGATTTTTATCCACCCAAGCTTATCCGTCATCTTTAATCATGCAAAAAGCAGGATTACTTAATCATTTCATTTTATTGCGAAGAAAAAGAAAGATTTACATTAAAATGATGACATGCAGGAAAAAAATAAATTGAAAATGATTATGAAGAGAATGTAATGTGGAGACTAAAGCTCCATTGGTTTTGTGATGCTCATTTAAAACAATGATCTAGCAAAGCCAAGATATAAAAGTAATGATGATGTTAGCTGTTGAAATAGAACCATCTTATCTTTGCATTTTAACATGCATCCTAACATGGTGTATCTAGCCAATTATAGAGAATAACCAAGAAAAAGACTTCCTATTTTTTCACCGACAAAGTACTCTTTTTGTGTATTAAATTCTACCTTTGTCTGATGTATGTGTATTTTAACATGCAAAATGTTGACATTCAAAACATGCTAGTGTTCAATATACATATATGTATTATTTGTTAATCTTATAGACTAGGCCAAAGTGCACTCGACTACTGAAAATATGTTGTTCTAAATATAAATATGTTACATTTTTAGAAACTAGGAAAATTAAGAAATTATTCATGCACTGTACTATATATCTTTGATTTTTCATGTTTTGCATCCCAAGTCTATTTTGGAATTTATGCTCTTTAAATTATTGTTTAATAAGTATGCTTCATATTATGCTGTGTTCTCACTACCCATTCCTTTATTTTCAGATGAGTTTGGCATTTGAATTTATGCATTTTCAAAGATCTTAAATGGCTACCGTGATTATGTATATTATAATTTAAGTTATTTACAGGAGTAGTAAAGGTGACATCAGAAGTTTGTAGCAACAAATCATTTGAGAAGGAAGAGGATTATAGCTTCATGAAGAAAGTTGTTTCTTAAACTAGCAAACGATGAGACTTTTCTTTTTGTATTTCTAACAAGTTACTTTTTCATCAAAGAATATTTTATTCCACTGTGGTTCTCCATTTACAAACCCCTAGATTTTTAGGTCCTGGTCTGATATTTACATAAACTGGTGCATTAAATAAATAATTACATTAAAAATCACTGTTTACCAATTAGGTCATTAATAATTTATCCTACTGTACTAAGCGGAGCAAATTTAAGGTTGAACACGCTAATGCCAAATTGTTTTAAGTACATTAATGTTTAATGTAATCTGAAAAATATCCTTCTTTCTTCTAATATTTAATACTGTATGTTTTTAGGTATCATGTATTCCATTTATTTAAAAAATATTCAATGTATGGTCATTTTCTCTACCCACACAATATAAATCTATATGTTATAATACAGAAAAAGGAGAGAGTTAAAAATAGTATATATCTATTGCTTTTCTAAAACCAGTAGTTGTGGAGCTAACCACAAACACATTGCTGCATTGTAACTGTATAATACTTGGCTTTGATAGGTGACTGCCTTTCATAAGTAACCTGGTAGCAGTGAAACAGTTAAAAGAGCAACAGAATAAATATGTACAAATTAAAGAGATTTTTGAGCGATCCCTAAACTTCCAGGGTTATCCTGTAATAGCTGTATATTATTTGCAGTAATTTTAATTTTGCAGAAGGGTATACATACAAGATAGGTTATGACATCTCAACACCTATGGATTTCTTGTGCCTGTCTTACCAAAACTGCTTTATAAACTCAGTTTCCTTGTGCTATTTTGAAGGTTATAATTACTTTTTGAAAGTAACTTTATAGCATTGTATGTACTAAAAAGCTATTTTAAACTGTTTCTTTTAAATAAATCCCATTTGTACTCATCGGGTTGGATGCTCTGATCTGCCTAGTGTGCCACCAATCTTTGAAATATAACTAGAATCATAAATTGAAAAATTAAAGAAAAATATGATTTAACATTCAACACTTAGATGACCTTGAACATTTTTAGGCACACTCACCGTTATTTCTTAGACTTTAACATAACAGTAATAAGAGAACTGCACGGCATACTGTCCTGTGTCTAGTTACTATCCCTGTGGTGGGTGAGGTAAAGTAAACTTATATTACACCTACCCTTTTTAGAAATATAAAACTAATCTGACTATTTCTCTGGACACAATAAACATTTCAGTACATTTTATTTTTAAGGTTTTGCAGGTGTTTCTATTCATCCTGCAATGAATGTAGATGGTACTTTATAGTACATAAATACATATAACACATATTTGATATTAAAGAAATTATGTACTGATACCTCAGGATAAATATTTAAGGAAAGTGAGATTATATAATTTTCTACCTTTTTTTAAAAATAAATCAATGGAAATATTTCTTTCTCTTTTTATGCCAGCTAAAGTTATGGTGTTGGTGTAATTTTTTGCTTAGATGTAAAACTGGTGATTTGCTGCAGGCTGTCATAAAACACTACAATTATTTACTAAAAAGACTTGGCCCCAGTCCTGCAATGACTGACTTAAATGACATTATTTGTGTCTGTGAAATTGTTGCAGGGATGGGTCCCTAGTTTGAACATAAGGTAGGACCTGAAAAACTGAAATAAAAAAATCTCCTAATGTCTGGATAGCATAGGGTGTTTTCAGTTTTGCTATTTTAAAATGTAGACTTCTGATTTGATGTGTTATATTCTGACGTATCTCTTATAATTTTTCTGGAAAGATGATGTTTTAAATTTAAAAAAGTACTCATTCAAATAATTTTACTTTTAGACTTCAAGGTCATTGACATGATCAAGTTGTTAGGTAAATTATGGCTCAGCTACTCTATAGTAGTAATTACATCTTTACACATCTTTGAACATGGAAAACAGAGATGATGATCAGAAACCATACAAGTATAGTCAGAGCAGTACGGATGAGTTACAAAAAATAGCAACAAATATAGGTACTATAATATTTAAGCAATAGGTGGCAGTGTTACCTAAATGCTCTTTTCTTTGAATTTAAAAAGGATGGGAGTACTTAAGAGGAACATGACATGTGTTTTACTTGTGCATAATTGCAGATATGTATAAACAAATTTAACACAGTACAGGATGTTTGAGAAAACTTTTCCTAACAAAGTTTAATTTAAGTATCCATCCTTTACATTACCTTAATTGTTTTGGTTCTACAGTGGTTATTAATTAAAATATTATATTGGAGTCCAAAATATTTACCTTATAGCTGTAAAATAAGTGAACAACATTTTCTATAGCATACTTTATTCAAAAGTGACATCATTTTCAACTTCATTAACTATGGTAGTAAACAACTACAATATTATAAAGTATGTGAAATAAATTATTTTTCTGGACATTTCCAATTTAAAAATGTAGAATCTATTTAATACAAGATCTAGTGTATAGCACTTCCATAGAACTTACTATGCACACCTTAAGAGTTTGTTTAGTATGTACAATACAGTATCACCGGTATATGCTTAGAACTAGTCCACAAATCTTATTTCCCCACTGCATACAAGAATGCTTCCTATGCACATCTTCCAGAAAGGGATACAGAAACCAAAATAGGAGTGGCATCTCTTAGAAAAACAGATATATAAACAGACATTTTCAAATATACCAATATGCTTATTAATTTGAAACATAAAAGATTTCAGAAAAGGCAAAAATATATAGCACAAATTAAGAATATTTTAATTAGTTAAATTGTTTTTGTAATGTTTATTCATATGCCCATTTCATCATATAATAATTAAAATACCATACTGACCAATGCAGCTGCCATATTCCATACCATGTGCTATACTTCTAGGATACAGCTTTCATATAGCACTGCTCCAAGAAACACGTTCGTCAGTGTGTGCTAGCAACACCATTCTGTACTTTTAGCAGTTTTTTTTAAAGACGATGGATTTGCTATAGGATTTGTTTGATAATTAACCATTAACTATTTATTATTGTATACCCCTTTTTAATCTAAAAAATAGCATGCTACTTGTAAGAAGAAGAAAGGTAAATGATAATCATGCTGGGGAAAGAAGATCGTGATGGATAGAAGCAATGATGAAATGTGTCTGATAGGGTAGTTTTCTTCTTTACCACCATTTCGTTGCTGCTCTGGGATTACAGCAAAATGGTGGCTACTTATATTTTATGGAAAATGTAAATTTTATAGTAACCTTTCTATAGAATCTAAATTGCTGCCTCCCTACACCCCTTTTATATTTCCGTGTAGAAATGAGTGTGTCAGATTTTCCTTCTGAAACTAGCAATAATGTGAATAAAGGTAAAAGCTCAGTAGCAAAATTATATGAGAATTCCCATGTACATATCCAATAATAAGACAAAAATGAATCTGATTGGAAGATGTTTTCTTATTGAAAATAAAGCAGAAGATTTTCATTAAGTGAGTAACTAAATTTCAGAGTTCTTTTCTCATCTTGCACAGCAGAAACCTATAGTAGCTGGTTGCAAACATTTCTGGTATTTGCTATGTATAACCTAAAGTCTTTATTTTCAAGGAAGTCTAATTAGTGGTAAAACTCAAGAAGAATTTAAGAGAGAGAGTTCCCAAACTTAGCTTTCTGCTACTATTGTTCTTACTGTCCCACAGTTGACAGATACATAGCGTGACAACAGCATTGTCCCCTTATCTATCTTCCTGGTTAGAGGGTATGGTGCTGTGGGCATTATGAGCATAGTAGCCACTCACCTTGTCATGGCTTGTGGTAATACTAATTGTTTTTCATAGACCTACTTTATTAAATGGAAGGGAGCTAGAATCTGTGACTAATACAACTGATTTAGTAACCACATATATTAAAAAAAGAACACTGGTAAACAAAAAGTAAAGGAGAAAGGAATAAATCAAGAGGTGATATGTTCTGGACACTCTGAAGGGTAATATACAGAATGTTTTATTTTTGTAATTAAAATGGAGTAGGTAGCTGGTATTGTCAAATATTTTTAAAATATGTTTTAAATTAAGCTTAATTTCATCTATATATAATTTTGATGTAATTGGCATTTAAAAGAAATATATATATACAAACATCTAAAATGTTTCTACACAAATTTTATGTTCATATATATTACCAATTTTATATTAAGTTAGAATAAGTGCCATTTTAAATTCTGGACAATGAAAATTAATATGCAATTTCCAGGAATTATACTGATACTTTATTGTACAAATGCAGGAAGATGTCAATGGAAAATAGGTATACTTTGATATGATACTTTGATGTAAAGCAGGATATAGGGTAGTATATATATTAATACTACTTAGTCTTAGAAAATGGAAGTTTTCAACTTTAGGTAACAGGTACCACACTTGAAATGTTTGTATATTCTGCAGAATTTGGTATTCAGATGACATAAGCAGCAGAATACATAAAAGAACTGTTTTATCTCCAGAGGTGATGTTAACAATATTCAGAAAGAGTAAAGATGGATATTGAAATTTCCTTGCAGGCATGCACAGTATATGTTGGCTAGCAAACAATGCCAGCTGGAGCCCGAAGTGGTACTATGTTTCAAGGATCCCCTTAACTTCCACTTCGCCCTAAATACTTTTACACAAGTGAATCAATTGACTTTCCTCTCAGTAAATGTTGACTGATAGTAATATGTAAAAACAACATTGCACTGGCTCATCACAAATGATTGGCTAAAATGAGATTATTTCATTAATTGTGTTTGGTTTATTCTAAAGTGTTCAAGCAGCAGTGAGGAAGCATATAATGGATTATTTCTTTGTTGTATTACCTTAAAGTAGTTTACATGTGAGACAGCCATAATCTTATATGTACTATAGGAATATATATATTCTGGAGGTGGGTATTTTTTGTAGTTTTTATATTACAGCTGTGCAATTGGCAGGTGTGTTGGTGATGATGCTGTAAGGAAAAGAAATTCTATTTAATATCGAGCATAAGAATGTACTGATGTTAAACTATGCAATCTGTTTTAAATCTACATTGGTCTTTTTAATATTTACAATACCTTTGCTTATTATATCAGCATGTTTATATATCATGCTCCTAAATACTTCACAATTCCATGTTACACATAATTTCGTCATAAGATGTAAAAAACATAGTAGTTATTCTGTTTTCAAGGTAAAAAGGAAATTGATACACATCACACTATTGTTTCAGAAAAGAAATCATGGTCTTGTAAAAATCTGTGGCCAGTAAATTAATCCTCTCAGGAAAGGTATCAAAATCTTAAATGTAAAAATTGCATATGTTAAAATTAAATTTAGAACAGTCATACTAATGGCCCTACTATTCACAACATAATACATGTTGTAGCACCAGAGTCTGATTATACTTCATTTTCTTAGGAATTTTACTATCATGTCACTTATAAAGTTGACTATTATGGCATACAAACATACCTTTAGCTTCTTATTAGCTTCAGCACATATCACAATATCATAAACATTTATAATACGCAGCAAGGAAAATTTTTCACATCAGCCTATCAAACCAGCAATATAGTCACGTCAAGCCAAAAGTTACACTGCTTTGGCCAAAACAATGTAAACTGAATCATATTAAATCCTATACATTTACAGTGATGCATGATACTGCTACTATAGACAGGGCCTGTCAGAGTTACCATTGGAAACCCCTTTTTTCAGAGGTTTGTAACTTTGCTGTTTCAGTTCGGATCAGGCTGAAATTTGACACAGAGATCATCAACATTGGTACAGTTTAGAAACAAACAAAATCAAATCAGTTCAGCCTTTTTTTTTTTTCTCCACAGATTTGCAACAATAATTATTTGTGGAGTTTTGTATAGTTGTGCATCTATTGGTGAAAAATGACTTAATTTTAAAAATGGAAAGAAAGAATTAGTATAAGTCCAGAATGTAGTATGAACTATTGAAATGTTTTTAAAAGCAAACCAATGGCTAAACGATTTTTAAAACCACTTCTGACAATGTTTTAGAATGTGCACACATTGGAAATAATTTTTGCTGTATACTACTATATTTCTTACTTTGGAAATTCACACTGATTTTAACAAGTATTAGGAGGTAGCTGTGTTAGTCTGCACTCACAAAAACAATGCGGAGTCCAATGGCACCTTAAAGGCTAACAGATTTATTTGAGCATAAGCTTTCATGGGTAAAAAACCCACTTCTTCAGATGCATGGAGTGGACCATGCATCTGAAGAAGTGGGCTTTTTTACCTACAAAACCTATGCCCAAATAAATCCGTTAGTCTTGAAGGTGCCATCGGACTCCTCACTGATTTTAACACAAGTCTGTGTACTATGCAGAGGACTGATTTTTTTGTTTTGTTTTTGTTTTAACTATGTTTTAGTGAATAAAATTTCTAGTTGCTATGGTAGCCAACTTTTTATTCTACATGTTCAATGAAACCTGCATTACAGACTACCTCAAGTAAGCTATCCACTGTATTAACCAGTCATTAAATATTCCTAAAGTTTCTTGTATGGTTTTATTTAACCCTTAGTTAAAGGCCCACCTAAAGGAGACAACTCTGGTCCCTTTTGATGAGCAAGTTTTGGTATCTTATAGCGGATTCTCTGTGTTTGTTTGATATTTGTGAACTAGCTTTAACTGGAACATAAAGAATATATAAAAACAGATTCCAATATTATTTACAAAAATGCAAAACTAATAAGTTAAGGCTGCTAGTTCTTTCTAAGTCACTTTTTTTTTTGGTACCAATATTTTAGTTCATACATTTTCCTATTAACATTTCCTATTAAAGGGTAGCCTTACATCAAATTTGATGGGGTGCAAGTTTGGTTCTGAACATGCTTAGTATTTCTTTTTTGTCATGTCTTTAATGTTTGCATTTAAGAGCACTTTAATTTCCTTTTTCTTTATTTGATCAAGTTGTATGTTTGATATTGCATTTGAAAAGCTTTAATAGGGCTCATTTTTCAATATTTTTAAACTTTGTTTAGATGCTGGAACTTTTTTGCCATATTATTAACTTTGCTGTGTTTTCTGTCCGTGAACAGATTATTATTAAACACTTTTAAATATAATTAATCATCCAGAGCAACAAAATAATTGTAAGTGAAAAAAGGAATACTTTCCTAGTGATACTGGCAAAGAGAAAAGCAGCACCATCTCCTTAGAGCAGCCATCATTCTGAATATCAGCCCATTTGTCGATCTACTTGTTCACTTCCATAAAATCTAGAGGTGGAAAAGACTAAAAGGTCATCTAGTTCCCCACTCTCTGCTAATGCTGAATTGTTTCCCCACTATATATTTGCTAATGTTTTGTTCCAGCTTTTAAATGTGCCTTGCAGTGTGTCGTTCTCTGATTCCCCAGGGAGATTATTCTACTGCCTATAGATCTCACTGTCAAGGTTTGTTTCCCCCACTGATATTTAGCCCAAATATTCCCTTTATGAATTTTGTCCCATTACTCCTAGTTATACCCCTTTTTACTATGCTAAATAATTCCTTTTTTTCTATTTATGTGTTATCACAATGTAAGGTTGCTGTTTTGCTTTTTATGGAAATGGTCTCAAACTGGCAAGACCTAAAATATGCTGAATTAAATCTGCTATAAAAGTATTTAAAGACAATCACGATAACTTAAACATAGTGCTGTACTAGTAAGCTAAAATAAAACTGAAGTTTGAATAATTTTTGTTAGCTGAACTAAGAAATCCCTTAAAGGTAACATTGCATTTCTGAGCTATAACTCACAGTGATGTGATAGGGCCCAACTGTCCAACATGGAAGCCTACACTGAGCTTCGGAAACTGTGCACCTTGAACTGAGCATAACCAGTGCATTTGTTGTGGGTACACTTGGAGCCTACTTGTGGAAATCCGGTAATTGGACACTACAATAGTGAGCCCCATAAAAAACGTGCAAAATTTATAAAAGGTCTAATGAGCCAATATCCTTGAGCCAAATCAGCAGAGCTGAAAGTAAGCCAGTACAATGTACCGGTAAGAAAGCTGCTGCCAGTACAGGCTGGTACACAGTCGATGGTAAAGCGCTGCCACGGCTCCTCCACATTAATAGGCTGCCATGGAGACTGAAACAATATCTGACCTAG